ATGAAAGAAAAACATCCATCTGTCACCAATGAAATCAAGTCTGGTCAAAAAGTTCAATTTTTGATACAGGAGTCTTCTACCTTTTGGAACTTTTTTTGTAGAAAGGGGAGGGGAACTGGGATCAGAAAGCAATAAGAAAACATAAAAGTTCACAGCTAGCRACTTAGGACAAAAAACTATAATCAAGTATATTGATTTTAAGTGAGTAATAAAACTTAAAGAGAAAAGACAGTATTTAGTTAGGACTACTTCCTTTAGACGGTGAGAATTACCTTCCGTGTTTCACTATGTGGCTAGCTTAAAAAAATCTGCACTTGCATTTTATATTTTAAAGTAAAAYTTTCAGTATTTCAAAAATTACCTAACCACTCTAGCCAAAGCCTAGCTGTAGTGAAAAAAAACATGCGAGCACAAAACATTCTTGTGCTATGTTACTGGACAGTATCTAATGTTAATGTATTTTAAAATAACTTTGTTGTTGTTTACAAACAGATTAGTGCTGGGGTGAAAAATAACACTCTACACTGTGCTACATGGAGCGGGTACAATGACTGTACAACAAAATACTCATTCAGCAGATGCTAATAACTCTCCCTAAGAGATGCTTGTGCCCATTAGGCACATGTGAGTGGCTACGGGGAGCAGTAATGGGCACCTTAGAGTGCAGTACACTTGCTTTCAAAGTGCTCCAACAAGTGGATCCTTCCAAAGCAGCCGGGTGACAGGCTGACCCGGGTGCTACCAAGGAGTGTGAGGGCAGAATTTGCGCTCACATGCCGGTGGACACTCAGCTCCTGARCACGTCGTTTTGCACCGCCGGCCGGCTTGGCCGCCCCGTGCCTCTGTCAGTGCGAGTCTAAACAGCAGCCTTTGCACTAGGGATCCGTCCCATCCAGGGCGTTGCCTGAAGCCGGCGGCTCCGTTTCAGAGGAAATTCCTGAAGAGCCCTTACCAGCGCTCTGGAGTACTTGGAAGCCTGGCCTGAGTCCTAATTAGAGCCTGGAAGTCAGGAAATCTGACTGGCCCAGAAGATTGCTTGTATCCCATTGCCGGTCTGTTTTCACTTCTCTGAACAGCACCAAGAATTTCAGCAGCCAGAAATGAATGATTTATCAATCAGAGCCAAGTCTGCCAGCAACCAATATCTCTGTAAACTGTACAGACTTTTTTTTAAGGCTCAATCGCTTATGCTGTTATATCTTTTAATGATGCAGARTTATGGGCAGCTTGCTTGTTTCCCTTAATTTAATTCGAACTCAACAGGTTATTGTACCAGCCCCCTTTATTATGGAAAATCCAAGGTCAGGATAAGACAGCAAACCAATCAAGTTGTGGAAAACATTTACAAAAATTAAAGAACATTTCAACAGTACAATTATTCTGGATTATTGGGAAAATAAAAAGGCTATGATAAGCTACTATCATAACATAGGCCTTTGCTTACCTAAAAGGAGAAAGTTAGCATCCAAATGAGTCATCCTTTAGTGAAACACAGCCAGCTGATAACACTGTAAGTAGCTGACTGGAAGTAGCTGCATAGAATATCCCCACTTTGACTTTAGCCAACCAATAGTTAAATATCATTAAGTAATTGATATTCTAGCAAAGGACTCCAAAACAATTGCTTTATGATTACCACTAGTTAACCCACAGAACATCAAAACTAAAAACTATTATGGTACATTGGCTTCATATATTGCATTTAAGTGGTCCAACATGGAAATGCTAAATATCAATCATTTCACCTTAACAATCTCTTGATCTAACTTGTTTTTGAGAACCTGAAAAAAAAAGTTTATAAAAATTCTTTATCTGTTTTCTTCAGCACTTATATTGAGACAAAAAGCCCATGAAAAGATTTCTAGCACCCGTGACAGYGCAGTGGGATAGAACTAACATATTCCCGTGCTTGAGTTAAAGCTTAACTCAAATGTCAGTGCTCCGAATCCCTTACGATTGGAACCGATAGTGTGAGTTATCTAGGAAGCAACATTCAAGGAGATATGGCTTTCTGACATCTTCATGGTGTGCGATATGATGTTCGCATTAGGAGAATGGTAGCTCTGCAACAAATGTTGTTTTGTRTACGAGCAACGGGAGGTACTGTGATAGCAGTAGCCTGTGATAGGAGTGTCCTGTCTCCCATAATAAATACAGAATATTTTCCAACACCATATTTACCCAAAGCTCTGTTTTTTAAGGCATGGTTTACTGTCCTCTCTGAGGTTAGTTAATAGGAGTATAAAACACCTCATAGCACTCTCCTTTAAAAAACATCGGGGAAAGAGGTCACTAATAAGACACGCGTGGTAACACTGTAGTTTATCATTACATTTCATCTTTCATAGAAAAATGCTCCAGAGCATGATTTTTCTTAATGTGCTGTAGGCTCAAAATGAACCCTCAAGGGTTTCTATTGCTCTTCGTGTTGCCAGAGCAACAAAGCAATACTCACCTGAATACCTGCCACGGTAAGTATCAATTTACCAGCCAAGGTGAAGTKTGTGCTGCTAGCAGATGCCACTAACAGCATTTCTACTATAAGCCAAATCGTCATGGCAAGGGATGCCATGAAAACTCAAGAATATATTACTGTTTCATTGGTGCTACTCAATTATTGCTCATATAATTCAAGTATCTCTGTTAAGATGTCTTGACCAATGACATTCAAGTGAAATGGTAAAACTGAAAGACATTTATATAAAATCTCATGCGTTAAAAAGACTTCATTAAACAGCCTGGAAGAAATCCAGCTTGTCACTAGGAAATATAACAGGAACCTTTTCCCATAAATTCTGTCCTAAAACTCTTTCTGATAAGAAGACAGAATGGAGGGGAGGGAAAATGCTAACAAATATTTCAAGAATATGTAACTGCTATTACTTTCTCAGTGGGGGAAAAAAATATGACTTTTTACCACTGTATCAGTCCAAACCCTGATAATGGATTTGTATTTAAAATGAGCGACAAAAGCATTACTTACATTACTATACTACAGAAAAATGAATGCAACTTTGAAATGGTTTGTTATATGTCAAGCCAAACCCAGGAGGACTACATGGAACWGAGTCCCGGAACTGGAAACAGCACTCTTTGCAAAGCAAAGTCTGTTGCTTTGAGAAAATCCTCCAGGATTTGTTTTTTTAATGGTTGGACAAAATACTGACAACCCATTTCAACCAGTATGGGTCACCAATTATAATGAACAGTGAGCTCCCACAGTACCCGCCGAAGTGAACGGGGAGGCCGTSAATGCTCTGCATCTCTGATGATCCCTCGCCACATTTTATTATCACTTCATACAAATGAGAAAACATTCAAAAGTTCAAGTTGCGTCATGAGGTGGAAATACCACCGTGTGAAGGACACATCTCTCCTCAGTTGACTTGAGGAAACTCTCAGAACTAGAGCCTTCCCCTCCCCACATTAGGGTTAAAAAAAAAAAATGAAGTGAATCTCAAAATAAGTGATGTAACAGCAGGAGAAAAAGAAAGGAAGGTTTACAGTGATAAATAACATGTTATAGAATACTAAAAATTCTAATTATAAAGATATTAAGATAAAGACATATCAAAGATACAGGGGAAAAACACTTAGGCTATGTAGTTGCTTACAGTCCTTGAATTAATTGGGTTTTTTTTTCCGCTTAAGTACTAAAAGGCAGGTGGAGGAGGAAAACTCAAAAATTTCCTCCCACTTCTAACTCCTAATTACCAGAAATGACATATCCTGATGTTTGGTCAAAACACCAGTCATTTCACTTCGTCCAGCCAAACAATCTGAAAGTGTGGGAATTAAAAAGCAAAGAGTAACAAAAGCTTTAGGCACTTCCAGGTATGAAGTGAAATGCACAAATTTGTTTAAAAAAATAGTGCTTTATTTTCATATATTATATATGCACCTCTTTCAAAGTACCGTTCTTGAAAAAGAAAACTTTGGGTATCTCATGCAAAGTCAGAAGCAGAGGCAGCGTGAACTGGAAGGACGCCTGGTATTCTGAATTAGACTGCCTGTTTTGTTACCAATGCAGATGTGTAACCTGCTCTGCCACTGAAATACAAATGATTATTTTCAGTTATTTTTAAAGAGATAACTCATGAATTTTGAGTGTAAAAATACAGTAGCTATCACTGAGCTTCTCAACCTTGCTTTGCTTATCTTTCAAACTCACTATTAAACTGTTTTAGAAGAGCAGTGGAGGTTGTGCAGCACCGACTGACTAGATTTAAGAAAATATACTCAGTCTAAGTAGAAAACGCTGTTTTCATCTCATCATTAAGATCTGTGTTTGCACAAACCAGGTCAGCTTAAATATATTCCTCCCTGCTCTTTCCCACTATTGTTTTGAATCTTAGGTTTGTTTTCAGACAGCACTCCCAACCAGTCAGTACAAACACTTCTCACTTGATGGACACAGCAGGAAAGTCAAGCTAAAAACCTCCACGTGCTGTTCGAGTTTAAAAACAAACCAGCATTAAGGTTTTCACTTCACAGTTCATCCACAAACACAGGTACTTTATCCCTTGAACTTTCAGGTTGCTGGGCTCAGCCAAAAAAAAAAAAAAAAGTTGTCTTTCTGATTTTTATTACACTATTACCAGAAATATCAAAAGAGGTGGTAAAGCACAGACTTAAAAAACAAACCAAAAAAAAAAAAAAAAAAAGAAAGAAAAAGAAAAAAAGAAAAGCCACTTGGGGGAAAACTGAGGGACTTTTCTGTTCACTGAAATGTAAAGTTATGAAACATGAGTTTGATAAAATCAACTACTTAGAAGCCAAGGAGTTATAGACGTTGTCGTTTGGAATTTCCTGTGTTTTGCGCCCAGTTCTAAGTCACATGCTTGCCAGTGGTAAGCATCCTTGCAAGCTGAGAGGTAGTCTTGTTTTACACTAAGGCTGAACAAGTTTGTTTCCCTGTTTTCCCCTCCTCGAACTCTTTTGGAATGATGGTCAGGGATGGAGACCCTCTCAAGTGGCAGCCSTCATCTTGAGGGAGGAGGGGAAAAAAAACTTTCTTTTTGACCTCACATCCATCTGTTGAATAATTCTGACCTTTCCCCCTCCCTTGCAGCATGTGCACAGTTTCAAAATGAACTCATATAAACAAAAAGCTATATTAATTTAATATGATTAAGAAATTATTAAAAATTACGTTTTTTTTTCTCTTTCTACATTCAAGGATTGATTAGTTAGAAATTTCTGACAGCTCCTTTTTTTGTGAAAGAAGGAGGCATAATTTTGTTCAGATAATTTTGTWCAGACAGTGGAAGAACATCATAGTGTGTGTTTTGTTCTTTTTTTTTTTAAAAAAGAGAAGGTACTAATGAGGGCATAAAGGCTCATTGTACTATAGTAGCAAATCCAGTAGAACAGCACTTAGGAGGTGGTTAATAGTGCTTTGGTTCAGAATCAGTGTTAGAAAATAAAGCTTAAAAATCATGACGCAGGATATCTGGAGGGATTTCACCAGCAATCTGTAATGGACGTAGAAAGGACTGAGGCGTTGGCTTCTTCTCCTTGGCAAAGTACTTTATTCTTCCYTGTGTTTAAGTTCCAGGTTTCACGATCGAGTTTCTCATTTCCATCGATGACGCACTAAGGAGGATTCATCGTTGACCACATCATTGTCAGTGTAGCGGTGCTGACACCGCGGCGGGATGAGCAGGAGGATGATCAGTACCAGGAGGATAATTCCGCACAAGCTCATGAGAGCGTAGGAGGCAATCCACAACACTGGTTCATGGAAAGAARCGCTGGAAACACAGTTGCTTCCAACATCCGTGGTTGTGAAAGGGCCTTCAATCTCAGATACTGGAGAGCCATCAACTTCTGAGAAAGCACATGAAGAGAGGCATTAAGTTCATACATACCACATAAAAGCCAATGAAAAAGATTTAGCGTAGTTATATCCCACTCCTCTCCATCATCATACATCTTGATGTACTAATTTTAATGTATTTCACACTGCAGTAAAAATAATAGCGTTGTATGTTTATAAAATGAGGACCTGCGGCGTAGGGAGACCATGATACCACGATACTCCTGCATTTGTACAGACTGTCAATAGGAAGGCAGAAATGAAACTCAAGTCTCTCACAGCAGAAGTTAAAGATCACCACTAGATCACCTTCTGTTTTGGGAATAGCTTTTCAGAAATGGCAGTTGACTTGAAAACCTCACATTACCAACCCACTGTGGTGGCCAGCAATAGGACTAGAGCAAATGGCCTCAAACTGAAGCACCGAAAGTTCCACAGGAACTTGAGAAAACACTTCTCGACAGTGASGGTGACAGAGCCCTGGCACAGGCTGCMCWGAGAGGYTGTGGAGTCTCCTTCTCTGGAGATCTTCTAAACCCGCTTGGACGCAGCCCTGTGCCCCGTGCTCTGGGTGACCCTGCGTGTGCACGTGGGYTGCACTATACAATCTCTAAAGGTCCCTTCCAACCTTAAGCATTCAATGATTCTATGTTTTTTTTTTGTTGTTGTTTTTGACATTTGCAACAACTAGAAAAGCACATCAGACAATTTTTACATCTACTGCAGCTGCTACCTCCCAAGATAGGCCTCAGGGCGCARCATGCAGGCTCGTTAGCTTCCAAATACCTCTACAAGCAGCATCCTTGGGCAGAGTGGAAAGGAGGAAGGATACTCTTGCAAGAGAGACTGTTGTGGTGAGAGTTCAGAAAGAAGATGAGATGAAGTAGGAGAGCCAGGTGATGAGCTTACAGAAAAGGGTAGTGGTGGGGATGAAGGTCAATGGCAGCAGTCGGATGCTGGGACACAAAGGAGCAGCGCCATGAGGTGGGGAGGGAGAAGTTAAATGAGCAGCTCAAAGGGAAAAAAAAAAAACAAAAAAAMCAAACCAAAACAAGACAAATGGAATTAACAGAGCTAAATCAGAGAAGGTGCCTGGGTAGCCCTGCTTGGAATAGCCACCCACCTTTGGTAGCATCTCTGATTTAGTGACCYGCTTCACAGCCACCACAAACCTGTACTTCAGTTAAACATGCCCTGCGCAAACATGCTTCCAAACACCTATAGTTTACTTCCCTAGTCAAATATGGCAGGGGACATTCATGTATTTCCTACAGAAAGCCTCAGTTTTATCCTTTCTTTCATGTTATACACAGTTAATTTTAAACACACAGACATACACGTTCTTGCCGAATCGTGATGCTGCCTTACTGARAACAGTATCTCTTATTTACACATAACTTAGACAAGATTCCTGAAAGAACATTTAAATGATGTGCAAAGCTTATTTCCTTGGATAAGGAGAGTCGTTTGCTTTTTGGAAGGCAGGAAGGAAGCCTTTAACATTCTCTGCAGAGAGACAAATGCAGAATAGGTAGGCTGATTTATTTGCAGTTTGTTTGGAGAGGTTTTAGTTGGTGTTGGTGTTTAGTTGATGAAGTTGGCCCTCCTTGTTTCATGGCCGAGTATTATTTGAAGGTTTAAGCCTTAGTAGACCTAACTTAATCATGGGCTGCCACTACAACAAGCAGTTCTGCTCTCCTTCACTGCCTCTTGTATTGGTTCTAGTGATTGGTTCTTGCAGGCTGCAAAATCTGACAGAAAACTAACCTGTCAAAACAAACAAATGCCCAAACCAAGAGTTCTGTTTAATTACTCACTGACCCCACTCGCCCTGCACCTCAGCTGCTAGTGTAGGAACACTTGTTTGAGCAGCAGCCCTTAGAGTGGTCTGGATGAGGTCTGGGATTACACCCCAAGCACTCTAGCACTGGTGAGTAGAAATCACATCTTGTTTGAGCTTGTTGGATTGCTCTGCCCTGGCCCATGCACCCTACCACATCAGCAGATCTTTGCAAAAGACACTGCCGTTGCAGAGGGCTGGCAAGCGAGCTGCCCAGCAGCAGCCCGAGGAGTAAAAGACTTCCTAGCAGGCCTGGGACAGAGACAAAGAAACAAACCCCTGGTGTTCCAAGTCCCAGGAGTGCACTTGGTCTGCTCTGCGATCGTTTCCCCTGGAAATCTTCCCCCTGCTACCTACATTACTTCTGTCTCTGGGAAGTCCTGCAGCAAAAACAAACTAAAGTGCATTTAACACTAATGCAAAGTGCAAGGCATAAATATTGCTACTTMGGAATTCAGTATTTTGAAGAGGTGAAAAAAAAAGCCGCAGAAATTCCTTTCTTGCGGATAGCTTTGAAAATAAACAGTCTCTAATTACTCAGTATTTGGCTCGAGTACAATAATTACTCCCATTAAAAAGGCAATACAGAATTGTTGCCATAGTGGCTGACATTTTGAATTACATTTTCACAATACTTGACAGCAGCATAGCCTCTGCTTTCTTCCTTCCAAAAATAAGTTTTCCCTCATCCTCCTCCACCCTCCAGAGAAATTGCAAGGAGATAGATCAGAAATATGCTTACATTGTTCAAATAAACCTTTAACAAACTAACAGTCACACATTTAGACTATTACACATAAGCTGAATTGCCTTTTTTTTTTTTTTTTTTGGCCTTTTGTTTTAATTAGATGGTCTGGTAGTAGCTATCTAGCATGAAATTTTGACCTTGAACAAATGAGCTTTTCTTCATTATTGACCACACGACAAAAGATGGTACCTCTGGAAAAACGCCATGTATAACATGTAGAACCTCAAAATTGGAAAAAGCAAACACATGCCTTTTCAAAGGCACATATCTTTGAAAAGGAAGCCAACAAATTGGATCAAATTTATCACAAAACTGCTCTTTGGCAGGGACTCTGGAGGTCACCTTGGTATACCTCCTACTCAGAGCAGGACCATCACCAACAGTCACCTGTGGCTTTGTCCAGCCAAGTCTTGTGAACACCCATTCTCTTCAGTTTCACTGGGATTACTTTCTGTTTTATCACATTTTTTTGTTTAAAGAACTGTAGAAATGATTTATGATAATAAGGCTCAGCACTTTTCTTCCCTGAAAATCACCTAAGTCTTAATCCTGTCATCTTCTTGCTTACTATATTAGGGGTATAATTGCTTTCAATGTTGAGGTACCAGAAGGTTGTACCTCTAATATTAAGGTGATATAAACATCTAATCTTAAGAAGGGACTTAATCCAAAACTTTCCCATTCATCCTGTAAATAGGTGATGCCTGAAATTATTGCAACAGGCAATTTGAAACAATTTGAAACTAGCAACAAGCAAAACAAGTTTTAAAAGGTTTCAGCTATCAGTGAAAACCAAATTTCCTTTCTTGCAACAACTGGATCTAACTCTCCTGCTCCTGTGTTCTTGGTATGTGCTGGGGAACTAAAATGGTGCAAGGAGGATTGCAGAGATAAATTATTTCTTATGTCTCATCAAGTCTCAATAGAAACTTGGAAGTTCAATGAAACTAAGGGTTTGCTCCTGTTCCTGCCATTTTTGCGTTAMGTCGTTAGGTCTGTACTTATCATAAAAGTCTGGGCTTAAATTCAATTTTAAGACTCTATTGTAAACAAGAAAGCAAAAGTCATTACAGAGAAACAATCTTTTTTTTTTTACATTTCTCTATTTCTGAAGATTTATGGCACTAGTAATTTAATTATTTAATTGAAGCCCATGATCAGACCAAAAAGGTCCAAATAAATTTCATTAATATAGTTGCTATGGAAGACATGACTACTCTCCACAGGAAGCCAGTTAGGCAGCTTAATCCTTCACACTGCTAACCACTCACAGTTGTGGTTTTCTGATGAAAGTGGTGTTAAATATGGAAACCACAAGCTGTGAAGAAGGGAATTCAGAATGAACGGCACATCCAGCAAAATGTCATCTGCCCTAGGTGAATAAAGCCTGACAAATCAGTATAACATTTTGTCTCCTTGTCTTAAATCATCCGATTTCTCAAGAAACTTCTCTAGTTCCCACAATATTGTTAGACACATACACAAAACGYGGATAAAGAAACGAGAGGAAAATGTCTTCTAGCACCAGCTGGGATTATGATGTATCCAAGGCAAGGTAAATGCAGATTTCTTTCTTAGCAAGCCCAGTTCTTCCTCTCTGGAAGAATGTTGTCTGCATGAAATGGCCAAACTCTAGGCTTCTATGTAGTGATATTACCAGTAAGGTGTTATTATGGTCCCCTGACTTTTTCTCAACAAAGACCTGCTTTCAGAAAACTTCTCATCAGCACCAGCCGGCATGAGTCCCCTGCTGACCATGTCAGTCACTATGTTGGGTCAGGGTGACCCACCTTCTCCATCAATGTCTGCAAGGGGCAGGAGGCAGCTCTGGACTTGCTAAAATTGCACTCAGGAGGCAAAAATGACAGGGAGGGAAACCTGTTTTCACTATCTTGTCAAGYTACACTCTGTCCTCCCAGGAGCACTCAAACTGTGCCTTTCATCACTGCAGGGCATCTTATAGGGGCCTTCATTAAGCAGCCCACATCCATWTAAAGATTGTGTTTTTTGTTCGTAGTAAGCTAAAAGATGAGAATTCTGAACTTGTTAACAATGGAGGGATTTTTTATTTTCTTATTTTAAAAGGCTTTTAAAAATGTCCTGGGGCTACAACTGAGCACGCTGGTATCTCTCTCCTTATGCTCAATAATCTGGTTGCACTAAGCACTCAAGTAATTACTCTGCTCACCTCCTACAACATAAATATTGGGGATTAAAGATGCATTGTCAATCTGACTTTTTCTCTCATGACAAGACTCTGTTTCTACAATGCTTTCCAGGACACAGAACACTTTTCCATTTGGGATAGAGACTTGTACATGCATGCATCACCTCTTCTCTACTCCCAGCTGGATTCCAAAATGTTCTTGTGATGCCATAGCCATGACCCATCATCAAGGGAACAAAAGCCCCAAACTTTTATTTGTTTTTAGCTTTCCTTGGTGAAAGAAGCCGTATCATGGAAAAGCAAGACAGTTAGCCAGCACTGTGAAATCAGCCTGTTCCTGAGAGGCCACAGTCCTTGTTTAAATGGCAGGATTCTAGCAGACCACATATTTGACTGTYGTTTCCTAACCAGCAATATGAAAGCCTGGCAGAGACCAGGTGTGTTCAGTGCAGAGCCCAAGTCTTTTTCCCTGGCCAGAAAATTTGTGTTTTCCCAGACACACTTCTCTTCCCAAACTGACATACTGTACTGGGGATTCCCCGAAACTTCCTGCATTTCAGTTTCTCAGTCCTTTCTGTCAGAYACGAATGCACAAATACAGTAGCTCTGATTAGCCTGTCTCTCTTACTGGCAACTCCAGACATTCATGGAGATCACAACGTGAATGTTCCGAGTTTGGAACATGGATGGATGAGGAATCACTGGATCAGGTGTTGTAAACTCCTGCTACTGATTACCAATAGGCCTATCATGGATTTTGCTTTCCACTTTTTAAAGTGGATTCTAGAAGTATAACAAAAGTGTGCAGTCCTTCCTTGCTAACCACTTCTCATACCAAAAATTACCAATTCTTTTTTTTCACATTTCTTCAGCAGCCAATCAAAAGGATAATGGCTTTTCTACTGTTTTAGAAACAACAAAACATCGCTATTCTAAATTCAAGTCACATTTTCTTTTTTTTTTCAAATATTTCTGAAAGGCCAAAAAGGGATAGTTCACATTTACAAAAAAGCTTTAGCATGGTTTTTCATTGCATGTTTCAAAAGTCAGTTGAAGAATGTATTCATCTGAGAGGCAGAGCAGGATTACACAAGAGAAGCTGCAGTGCAACAGCGACACTCCTATTACCCTCTTGGGGAAACTTCACCCACAGGCAGGCAAGTCAGAGGGAAGACATTCTCCCAGGAAAACAATATGGTTAAAATTTCCACAATTAAGGCTGATTTACACCAAAAGGTAGTAGAGTTTTATTGCAGCTCTTTCTTTCCCGCTCCTCCCCTTGAAGTGTGAGGAGTTTGGGATTGCTCACAAATACCTTAGCACTTCATTAATTACCACATTTTTCCTATCAGATAAGTGACAAGATGATAGTTCTTTTGAGGCTGGCAGGTGTTTCCTGAGCCACCAGCCCAGGACAGTATTTCTCTTACCTGCACATGGACTCACTGCAAAGCCCACTCTCTTCTGAGCTCTGTCAAATATTACATAGAAGCCTTCCATGACGGTAGCACCAATAACTAGGGCATTTGTGGAGGAAGAGATTCCAAACCGGTAGCACTGTAGATTCTCCCCAATTCCGAGAATGGGTTGAATATAAAGCTATTAATTAAAAAAAGAAGCCAGAGAGTAAAGAGGCAGCAAAATACAGTACTCAGAAGATAACAGTTCAGAGAGATATCCAGAATTTACAATTTTTGTATTTAATTACTTGAATTCTACTAGACAAGCAATGAATAGGGGCAAACAGACTTGCATACATTATTTTAAACTGGTCAAAGTTTAAGTGCATGTAAGAGCTCAGGGAGCCTAAGCTTAAATTTGAACTCAATCGGTTGCTATGTAAAGGTCACCTTCAATTTCATGAAAGTCATTTTTTACTGAATATTCCATAAAGGAAGGACAGAAAGACAAWGCATGTGAACACAAATTAGAGAAATATTAAAAAAAAATTATCAGGATACAATGGATGTGGAGAACATTCAGTATCATCTTCGAGGCTTTAGGTTCATAAATTCAAGTCACRTTTTACCCCTTTTCTCCTCAGAGAAGAAGAAAGGTTGAGAACTACACAATCAATACAGAAAAAGCTTATCATAAGGCTATACTATATTTCAAGTTAAAATGTACTTAAGAGGTTCATTCCCCACTTTCTTCTGCCCTGCGGTAAAAGACTGTAATAATGATGTTAAAGGATAGGTTGCCTGTATTGCAGCCTACATTGGGGAAAAAACAGCAAAAAGCAGAAATGAAAATGGCACATTATATTGTAAAAGCTGGGGTGGAATATTAATAAAAGAAAAAAAACCCCACCAAGTTATAGAGATTGGTGAGGAGCCCAAACAGCCTCATTGCCAAGAGTGTCATTTTCAGGAAAAGTGCTCCAATTCACAATACCATGAAAACAAAACAATTTGCTTCCCAACATGAGAAGAGCAAAATGAGCAGAGATACTGTGTATCAACATCTCATGTAGCTAAAACTTCAAGAAAAACAAAAACAGCTTTTCCTGAGAGTCTGAAGAATTCATTCAGCACTACACAGACTGCACCTAAATGAGATTCTATTTTTCTTTTTGCTTTCAGGTATCAAAACTCTTTTTAGCACACAAGTTTCTTTGCTATTTTTCCCAAGCAAAGATTGATCATTAAACTTTTTTCCCCTCATATCCAGACATAATTCTCTATTATTGCTTAAAATAGCTCCTATTTTGTAAGAGCATGCACTATTACAATAGTAAAAATACTACATATACACATAAATACACATAACAAAACAAAGAAAGTTGAGACCTGTGGTAGGATAGAGATCCGAAACGACCTGCTGGCGTTTTCGTCCCTCAGGTAAAYGGAGAGTTTGGGAAATAAGGACCATGGTCTTTCAGTTTTATCCCAGCATGCAAGCTGGGAACCAGTCCAGAAACCAGAGGAGAATTCTTGTATCTATAAAAAAGCACGGTACATAAAGATTACATGCATTTTGATAGGTTTTTGTAAATGATCACTGATACTTTTGCTTCCCATAGAGAAATCCAGGTCTGACAAAATAGGAGTCTGACAAAGACTTTTTTGTTGATAGAAGCAAAAATCTCAAGCCCAACTCAGTGTTCATGATAACCTGTCATGAGTTKGAAGGAGGAAGGAGAGGATGACTAACAAATTTCAACTCTCCTTTCCCAGGTAATGGGGGAGTAATGGGCAAGTAATGAGATTTCTTTCTCATTACTTCCCCTTTCCCAGTAAACCTGTATGACCTTCTTGAACAAACATTAGAGCTAGGGCTGGCCCTGTCTCTTCTCTAAACAACTTTGACCCAACATCAACATTTTAAAGAAGCAGAAACTTTAGAAACATGGAATGAGATATGAACCACATGAACATTAACAGTCGTATTAATGGTTCCTCGGTTAACTTTAGGGTTTGGAAGCTAAGGCCTAAGCCAAAAGCCCCTGTAGACTGCTACTGAGGTCTGCTACAGCCAAGAGAAAGAAGCACCCACTTCTGACTCTCWTGCTGCATTGCCACTCTCTACCAGTGTAACTTAGCATGCTTTGGAAATAACATTGATTAACAGTTTTCTTAGTATATCCATGGCACTAACAATACAAACAATAAACCCCTGCAGAGCTTCTTTACCTAAGACAAACATCCTGTCTTATGTTCATGCTCCCTGAAGAACACAAAGTTGATGTGCTGCCAGGTTGGAGGAAAACACTTCCTTATTCAAGTGCAATACTTTGTGCTGGTTCCTATTTCCATGTGAAGCAACATACAGGGCACTACCTCGTTCTGATATTATAGTACCAAAGTACTCCATTTTGGTGAAAAGTACGGAATACAGCCCCTCTACTCCTCTCACGTACACTTAATTATGATATTTTGTAAATATCTGCACATAAATTAGTTAAGTGTAAGGCTGCACAGCATTAAAGATTTGGTACTTCAAGATGCTGATGTTCTTGGGCCAGCATGCATACACATACGTAAACACACTGTGCAGCTTAGAGATGGACTGCTTTTATGCTTAAATCTAAATGCATATGGAAGTACATCTTTTGGCATGGGACTGACCGCTCTGTCCCTCAGGACTGTTACCCAGGTCAGACTTGCTGAAAATCATAGTCCTCTTTTTGTCTCGGAAAACAGAGCTTGCAATTTGAGAGAAGCTGCAAGAGAGCACCAAGGCTGGGCTGGCAAAGACTAGAGAGTGCTCTACTTTAACTGCCTGCTTTGATTTCCCAGAAAGACTCTTTATTATGTTGCATTTCATTTTCAAAAGTGTGTATGCTTTGTAATACCTAAAATGCTTGCTAACTTAGCATAGATTTAAAGCTGTGCATGGAAACACTGCTTTAACTTCACCTCACTTTAGCAGCAGTGTTGTGGCTGCTAGACCACTAAGRCTCATCTCTGCCCACCTGCCAAAATCATCACTCTTCAGACCTGTCAACATCAAATAAGACRAAAACTGCATCTAAAGCAGCTCCCTAACAGACTTCCATCCAAATCAGTTGGAGTAGAAAACAAAACAAWTACAAATCAGCACTATTAAAGACCATAATGCTTAGAGCCTTTTTTTAAAAGCTTTTTTTTCCTTTAGATAGCATAATGAAGGAGCACTGCACCTGCAGCTGTGCCAATACACCTGAGGGGTCAATAACATCTTGCTGGGAAGCTCCTAATGAGCAGCTGAGAGCAGGAACTTGTTAACCTGGTTAACCTGTCGTCAGAGAAGCAGGTCTGACCACAGCATGATGATTTTAAGCTGCAATGATGCGTAGCCTGACAGAAGTACAGAGAGTGCCTTTGTAATGCTGTAGTACAACTGCTGAAAATAGCCTTTTTTTCCCCCCCAGACATCACTATTACAGTGTCAGAATCTAATCCTTACAGCTCCTACTACTTTTCTTATTTAGTAAAATATCAATATTGTGTAGAGGTGTGTAAATAACGTCTGGTGTGTGTGGAGGGCAAAGGAGTACAATAGCAAGGTCTTGCAGATTAAAAAAATGAAATTGAAAAGTTAGTTTATACATTTTTAATAGGAAGAACAAAAATCATTAAGCAGAATGGGTGAGTGCTTCCTATCTAATATCGTATTGATTGGTGAACTGACTGCTTACTTGGCATGCGGAAGGCCCTAGTTCCGATGTCCTCGTGACCAAAACCAGAGAGGAGCTTGGACTGGTGTGACCCAGTTCACCAGAGAAAGCACATTACAAGAGCTCCTGGTTAAGCTTCTTTCATTGCCCTCTCTGCCATCGACTGGGTTGATATTGGAAGTGCTTTACAAAAAGTAGAACTTTTCAACCAGTGAAACTGAATTACGTGAGGTAACTGGTGTACTTCCTTCAGATAGTGGGCATCTGCAGGTTGTCAAGAGCATTTCATGCTGCCCCTCTGCTCTCCATCACGTAAGGAAAGGAGTAAGTCTTGATCTACCATAGGCCTTGTGGGCAACCAGCCACTAGCCCATTTACTACTGTCTCCTGTGGTTTGTAACAACTACCACAGTTCATTTGTGAAGCCATGGCAAAATTACTAGAATTGTTCACATTGAATTATCTAGGATTTATTTTTCATCTTCACCTTTCTCAATAGTGCTCATTGCATTCAATCAAAATTTATGATGTAGTTTTAGTTGTTGTAACCCAGAAAATGTAACGTCAGCTAATCTGCACACAAAGGAACTATCCCCATGACCTATTTCTAAAACCCACTCTGTTTCCAAAGAAAGAGGCTTTTAAACATAAATAATTCAATAATGAAGGCCAAAAGAGCTTTATTGATATGAATAATCCTAATGAATGGCATGCATTCTATATAACAATAAGCGTTTTATCCAGAAATTAACTGCTTGCAGTATCAGGTTTACTCAGTTTTGAATTAAAGGGCTGAATTTTGCATTCTGAACACTTTGAATTGAAGAGATAGGGATCGTGTCTGTATTTCTRAAATACTTAGAACAAAATACTCCATTTCTGCACTACTTTTGACCCATTTCCATACAGGTTTCTTTTGTCAGTATATGACCCTGCCTTCCACCGTTTCCCCTTCCCTTTTCCACTTCCACCAAAGACAGTCTTAGATGCAGAGGAACTCAGTCCTCCTCAGACTGAAACCCTATGACTCACAAGGYAGATGGCAAAGATGACATCCCTTTTCAAAGACCACCTGATAATGCAATAGTAATTCAAGACTTCAAGCGAGTTTAATCACAGCTTACCAGGGACGTGCGAACTATGGCTTGCACAACAGCACTGAAGACTTTCTGGGGCAGCCGAAGGAGGGTGGTACCACTGTCTACTATTGCTTTATCTGCATTATACTGAGAGGAGAATTAAAAAATGAGACAAATTATACACACAGTAGATAATACAATGCAGTTTAAACTGTTTCACAATGGCCCAGCTGCTCCTCTTCAGTAAGAGTCTTCACAAACCTGTATGTCACCACTTGGCAGAACTCTCTGTTGCTTAAATTCAAATGAAATCTAAGAGCTAAAGCAAGGCATAGTCTGGACAAATGAGTAAGTTTATCTGCATCACTCAAGAAATTTCACTCAGTGAAAACACCAGGCACATGCATTCTCGACCTGTTGTAAAAGGAAGAAAAGCAGGGCCTCCCTCAGAAGTGAAGCTAATCCTCCTGACCTCACACATGCCTCGGGCAAGAGGCACTGTGCCAGKGAGACACACATTAAGGACACTGACGAAGCTTACAGGTATGTCCAAAGCCTGAACCGAAGTCTCTGCTATGAGAACAACTTGCTCTGCTTAAAATACAATAGAGCAGCCTGCTTATAGTGACCTAAGTATATATTAAAAAAAAAAAAAAATAGGGAACATTAGCCCTTATTATATGTCATATTTGGCACTGACTCAGGGTACAAATGTCCAATGACACACACTTATCTCCCCACTTCTATAAGCCAGCAAAATATAGGCAAAGGCACCTATAAAGAAATTGACCAATTTAAATGTTGCTGCCTGAAAATCTATACTAAAGATATGTAAAAAAAAMCAAAACAAAAACAAAAAACTTCACCCTACTACAGACATGTTTCATTATTATAATCCCACACGCTAGATTAAGACATCTCTTCAAATCTCTGGTACATTTTATAAAGAATAAATATTTTAAAAGGCAAWTTTTTTTTTCATGAATACTTTAAAAACAATGACTAATTGTAAAGAAAAGGCAAGTAGCCATGGCAGCTGTTTGCATTAACTGCTTTTGTTATCAGCTTAGGTGGCAGGATCAGTATAACTCAACAGCGACATGTTGATGGCATAATCAAAGGAAACCAGGAAACATACAGCATAAACTCATTAGGAAGAGGTCAATTGAATATCCACCAGTTTAGGTCACATGGAGTATCTTTAGCGCAATGATAAAAATAAAAGCAGAGAAGTAATTCTGACAGCTTTTTTCTTTTTGAATGAAGCCATGCTGTAGCACCGCTGAAAGAGACGCAAACTGGAAAAGCACTGCTAGGAACCACTTAACCATTTATTGTGCACTCAGATATATTTCTAAAGAGTGGAGAGAAATATCAAGGCATTGTGGCCACATCACTTGTATTCTTTTTTGAAGAATTTCTAAACAGAATCCATTTTTAATATGCCATGAAGACACAATCACCCGCATCCCTGAGAAGCTCCCTTGGAAAAATTGTAAGAAGATGGCAAAGCCAAGAGGACCATACATTAACGGAGTGCCATATAAATTTTCTGGCGTAGCAGTATCACTCAGTGATTAAATGCCACCTAATTTTTCATGTCGTGTACAGTAACTTGCCTTCTCAGTGTTCCTGGTTAATATTTCACAGTGCCCTTGTGCAGGGCGCAGTATTGGCAGCTCGACACTTYGCTCAGCCCTAGTCTGACAGGATCAAGGCCACAGCTGCGGTGTGACTGGACAGATTCCCAGCACTGACGCCTTTCCCTAAGGAAAGGAGTAGTCTCTGGCCACTTTAACAAAAAAAAACCCTTTCCATTTCCTCAAAGATGATTAAGAAAAGAGAGGGCGCACAGCTCAGCGCTCTATATAGTGAATTAGCACCCTCTGCAAGCCCCTGACTAGGTAGCCACTCTTCTGCTACACTTTTGTTGGAACACCTCTGCTTAAGAAAGCAACGATGCCTTCAGTCCCCCTGTGCTAATACAGAGTGAAAGCAAAGCACAGCTTCSAACAGGCCTGCAGCAACAGGAAACTCTCCTAATTGCTAGATTTTCAAACGGTATGTTTTTGTTTCGTGGAAACGGGAGGTGTTTAACCATTAGTATCGCGACTCCTCTTCAAAGTAAGCTGTTTTTTAAGGCAAGAAAGAAAAGCAAACACAAACATTTAAGCCACAGGCCTAGCAGTAGTGCCTTCTGAACCCTATAATAAAGATAGAAATAGTTATTTAAATAGACTACATTTTGCTTATTAAACACAAAGAGGTTATGAATGATTTTAAATATTTTATCTGAAAATATGTTGTCCGTATTTTGTATGGAAATATAATACTTATGCATATGCATGATTTTATCATTAATTTCACTCAGTCTGTATGAACTTTAAAAACTTCAGAATTATCATGCTGCACAGATTTCCAACTACAAAAATAAGCATAAGATATTTTAAGCTGTCTATTGCAAAAAAGGCATGAAAATTACAGCACTAAAACTGAAACATGAATAGCAACAAGTGATAGTAAAACAAACAAGCAAAAATRCATACACACACATCCTTTAGAAAAAAAAAGTTTGGGAATAAAAATAATTAACAGCATAATTTCACTAGATGGATCCAGTGATAACAGGACATTTTTCTCAATAAAAATAATAAACACATCCATGAAGAATAATAATTAGCAAGATAGAAAAGATTACCAAAAAAAAAAAAAAGAAGGATGGGATGGGAAGCTTTGGGAAGCTCCCCTGGATGGCACCTGCCAATGGCCATCATGAATTATGTGCTTAGAAATATCCCTGGGWTTCATCCCAAAACCTTCACTTCTCTTGTTTAAACAAGTTTTTTTCCACGTTCAGTTGATTTTACTTTGTAACATACAGTCCTAAGTTGTAAATATTTAAGGATTGCCGTCTCACTGAAGGGCTGTACAACCTTCAGTGTATGGACGGCTTTGTTACAACAACAGACACTGGCCTAGGTGGTGAGATCTTCCAGACCACATCACTCCCATTCTCAGTGGATTGTTCTCTTAGTTTCAATAAATTACAGGCTGGGCTACAAATATTACTGACAACTTTGAAGTCCTGTTCAAAGCAATTTTAGCACATTTGATATATACTCTWTATACTCTACATTTCATATGGCTTGTTAATTTCTCTTAAAAGTTATCATGCATCCTTAATCTCAGAGGAGACTGCAATACACATCTTCTTGCAAAGGTAAAACTGATTAATTATTTGTCYTAACCAAATGTATGTTTTATATAGACACCTTATTGCAAATACCTCTCTGCAGTCCAAGTTGAGATTCTGTCCTCCAACCTCCAGCTTGAGGATTTCAACTTGATAGTACCACTCCTCTTTGATAGGTGTATACCAAATATCACCTGTGTACAGACTTGGTTCAATTCCACCCAGAACCTGAGGAAAAAAGAGAAGGGAATATATATGCTTTAAAATCCAGGATGTTTAGCTCTGGGTCAAGTACAAAAAATAAAATAAAAAAAATCTAACCGCAATGCACAGGGCTTCAAAATCTTAATTTAGCACCATGTGTAAGGGTTTTGTTGACAAGTGCTGTAAATTTTAATCGATAATAAAGTGATATATATTTTGCAAATATATGAAATATCTGGATGTTAAAAGACTCATGCCTCAGCAAACCAGAATTCCTATATTGGACCATATTACCAGTATCTTCTACAAATTCAAACTAATTTTCTTATGAAAATTCCATTGTTTAAAATTAAGAGTAACTTCAGTGGCTTAATCTAAGCAATGTGTAAAAACAGGAGACAATATTGAACCTTCACATGATAAACTCAGTTCAAAAAAAAAAGCCTTATTACTGCTTGACAACAATTTAGTTTTCTTAAGCACATCCAAATTGGAATATATGACCATAATAATATTGCTACTAGTAGTATCTTCTATCAAAATATACATTAAGCTGATTGGGAATATACTTGACTAGCAGACTTTGAGGTTTTGAACTGAACTAACTGAAGTAACCTGAATGAGTATGCTTCTGGGCTCTGTCTCTCCCAGGTGAGACAGAGAGACAAGGATCTTGATTCTTCKTTCCTTTTTACTTCATGTAAAAAAATGTATTGTTGCATTTTTATGCATTTGAACAAGCTTAGTAATTCAGTAAAACACTGCTCAGTTTGAGAAAGATTGCAGAACTTGTCCTCAAGGAATCATGTCGGCTATGGGGACATTCACTACAATATTTCATTTATTAAAATGTTCATCAAAATCAAACTTTAAA